CTTTCATCGCTTCAATGCGCTTGAATTTTCAGAACCGGGCTCTTCCTAATTTGCATAATCCGTAATCGGCGCGTGGGCATTACGGGAGAATAATGCCCTACAATTCAGTGACAATTAACCAATCAGAGCGCGCGTTATATCGGCCACAAGCCAAAGCCATATAATAATACTCCTTAATGAGCATGGGCAGCCCCCTTTTTTATTTCAAAATTGAAGTTATAATGTGACAAATATTCGGTGGACAAAGTTTGAACAAAACTCCATTGTAACTTTTATTTCAGAGGAATTACCTTAAGTGCGTCAAGGTTCAAACTTTTGACGAACTCGAAGACGAAGATTTCTTAGTAAAGTTTGAATATGACGTGTTCTAATTTGTTAATTTTCTTTTCGTAGGACGTTAGTTGCTACTGGAACCTGAACTTAGAAAACTCAAGCACTGCACAGAGGGCATGTTTCGTGAAGAATACTCAATAAAGCATAATTGACCCATATTATAAACTTCTTTCATGTGGAACTGTGCATTTAAAACTTGCATACACCACATAAATATATCTGAGAGATTTACTTTTACTAGAAAGCGTTATTTTATTCCTGACAGGTTTAAAACGTTATTAACTAAGCTTTAAAGACGTACAAATTTGTTCAGGTAACTGGGGTAGTCCAGAAAAACTATGCAATTTTAAATTCACCGATGTGTCTGGCTGGTTTCAAGCCGAAACATGTGTGGCTGCAGCCTTGCAGCTTACAACTTAAAACGACGAAGCAGCTAAATTAGTCGCTGTCGTCTTTATAATAAATCAACATAACAATTGAATTAAAGTCAATCTATGGAGTTTGATTACAAGTAATTGCGTATGAGGAGTTATCATAGGGAGGACCGTCAGCTAACGTATTTAGGCTATGAAATACGACGTTCAAATAGTATATTGTATTAGGATGTTAGAAGAACAGCATACTATACTATGACTGCAGGTAAAATACATTATTGTTTGATGTTGAAACATTTACCCATATGAAATAAAAGCAGTGATAAAAGGACTATGCCCTTAATAGCTGTTTGATATTATTCAATTAGCAATTTGGCACAAAAGAGGCTATAGGTTCATTCTGAGAGAACGTCTAAGCAATAAAATTAACTTTATAGGAAAACCAGTATACTTTCAGCACGAAAGATTATTTACTGCTGGTTACACTGTAACAATATGTATTCCTTGATTAATGTATGCACATAACATAGCCTACAAGGTTATTTTTAAATAATAAAGCTGAAAAATGCTGCAAAAGTCTAATGACTTCTCTTCTTTCCAGCCTGCACCAGGCTTTCAGTTATTTGGGGAGCAATGCGAAAACGTGAGGGGAAAATTAAAATACAGAGGGAGTAGGGTATCGCTCTCCCACGCCGCACTCCTTACTAAGTGTTATTTCTTGCCGTTTTTAACTCGTGAATTCCGCTAGCAAGTTACGAGTTGCAGTGGGTGGTTAGATTATTAGTACTGCCCCCGAATTAATTGAACACCTGGGACAAGCTAACTTATCCCCATCTTGATTATTCAAAGCTCAGGACTTTGCTAGCCATACAGAGTTCCTTGTATGCATGTCTCTTGTTAGCTATTACTTTGACTTATTCAGCCAATCAGAAATATAAGCTAGACTCTGTAGAGTTACATCATACAAGAGGAATTTCAGACTCGTTTCACTCCCAGATAAAGGAAATGAGATCCCAAGAGAGACTTAGTTATTCTCATGCTGAAGTAAATAAGAATTTTATTCAGAATTACCTCGGAAGGTTAGAAGTAAGGCGCATTTTGAACTTGATGCAAGTAAACGTGACCGTTATCAACTAAATGCGATTTTGAGTCGGCGTTACCGCATTATATTGGCGGCTAGTTGACAAGGGTGGGACAAATGTTAGACGACATTACCGTATTAGTCTGTCTAATTTACTTCTCTCGCGTAAAGCTCTGTCCAAGCGGGAATGTTTGGCCATCAAACACGATCAAACATTGTTTGGTGAACAAACACTTTTCCTTTGGAACGCCTTGTTTGATCATAATTTTATTTGATCGTGTTTAATCGTGTTTGATAAAATTTGAACGATGACAAACATTGGATTAAACATTGCAAAACATGCTCTTATTAAATCTTTCGATTCAGTTTTTGGCAAAGCGTGACAAATTCCTATCAATTGACCATTACGTGACAGAAAGTCCAAATCGGACGCCATATTTACATTTCAGCGTGCGGCCTGAGCAAGGACAACAGCACATAAATATTTTGCTTTAGCAAACAAGGGACTGACGCTGGAAGGCTTGACCACTTTTATGGATTGCTGTTTGAGAACAAGGGATAGGAATGTGGTGGATTATCCCGAGTCATTAGTTGAATGTCATTGAGAAGATGATGTACTTTGCTGAACTCCACACGTCGCAATGATTATCCGTTACCGTCTAGGATTCTGAATACACCAGTACTTAATATCTGAACGTTATATCTTACAGAAGGTGAACTAAACGTGACTTTTCCGCCATAGTTTAAGTCCAGATACCGAAGAAATCAAGTGCAAGAAGACATTTTTTCGTTCTTTTGATTATCTGGTCACAGACACTTGCCTATTGTTTTCGTTTCTAGCAGGTTAGTGTTGTGATTATCACGATTTTGAGAGCGTCAGTACTCAGCGCTGATGAAAAGCCCGAAAATAATTTTTATACCAGGTTTTAAACTGACATTTGTTCTTTCGAAATGTTAGAATCTTAGTTGTTTCGGTGTTTTACCGGGTAGCGAATTTGCCGATTGAAAAAGTGTGCATAATTAAGAATTTTGAGGAAGCGAATTTTAGTGATTTTAAGAGGCTCGTCGTGACCTTGAAAATTAACCCACAGAAGAATAATTGTCCTCAAAAGACTTGTAAACCCCTCAATAATAAGTTTCTAGGCTCAAACTGGAATGTTATTGTGATGCGGATTGAACAGAGCGAAGTTTATTATAAGGTATTAGTCGCTACAGTTTGCGTGTTTTTGGCCAGATGTAGGACCGTAACGAATTTTTGATCTTTTGGCGGGTTAAAAAAATTTTTACAAGAAGATAATCCCACCACGTATCTAGGCTTACCATAGACTATCTCTGAGAGGAATATGAAAAATTTTGATTTTTTATCATGTGCCACGACTGGCGCTATGTTAGTGGACATTCCCTCTTAAGGTGGCTGAACTCAGTTTTTGATACCTGTGTTTCATTCACCTTTTTCTCTAAAACCCTTGATCCCTCGGTCGCCAAAAATGGCAGCAAGCAAGTTAACAACATAAACGTTGCTTTTTTGATAGTTAAGCTGACGTATTTGCCGTTGCCATGGCAACATGAATAAATAGAAACAGGCCTTTAAAATCGGTTTTGTTTATTTGTAGAAAATCAAGTCATTAGATTTTCTTTATAATTTGCATGCAACAAGCTTGTAACGATTCTCAAAAGTTAACACCATTTTGCTAATAATTTAACAGAGAGATCTTTAATTGTCCCTTGTTGAAGGTTCATTGGAATATCTAGAATTTCCTTTGTTAAAGCTCAATTATCTTCAATACTCCAGTTACTTATTTCCTAAAGTATTTTTGTGCCAAATTTCGTGAAATTCTAATGAGTGGTTTTCGAGAAATAGACGTATTCCCGAGAGTGCAATTTTTCATTCAATCGCAATTTTTCGACTTACTACGCATGCGCAGCATTTAACTGGGTTCTTTCGGTAACAAAGAAAAAGCTGAGAATTGCAGGGTTCTTTGCATCGTTACCTTTTCTAACATATCGTTGTAATAAAAGACTAAAGCCACCAATACGCTGCGTTCAATTATAGAGAAAAAAAGCACAGATACTGCGGGTGTTGAGTAAGCAAAATGATCGCTCTATTTTGACGGCACGTTTGTTTTTTTGCAATCCTTGTGCGCGCACTGAATTGCATCAGCAAAAGCGCGCGCGAAACTGTGTTCGGCCACCTTAAACAGGGATTCTTGGGGAGTAGTTTGATAGAAAAATGGCTAGCTATTAGCAAGAGAGGATTTATCTCTAAGTCTTTTAAATATCAGATATTATTAAAATGTATCCTGACGTAAAAAGTAACTTAATTATTAATACGATGCTATTCTTAGTTTCACAATTGCTTTTCCTCTCGTTGTTTTGTTTTGTTTTTAAGTAATGTAAATTTAGTATAGGTATATCTAATAAATCATTCGCCATATCCTGCGGCTGAAACCCTGCGGGGTGTTTAATTATCTACTCCGGTAAAATGCAGCCTTTTCCGAACGTCACCGTCAAGGCAGAGCCAATTGATCTACAAGAAGTTAAATTTGTGTATACGAAGAGAAGACGAAGGCTCTTTTTTGTGAACCAAGAGAATTAAATGAACAGTTTTTTTTATTTAACGTTCTTTTCCATACATTATACGCAAGGCAAGTTTTGCACAAGGCGGTATCGAGCGCTATCAACAACCTGAAACACTGAAGTTGAAGCTTTCTTGCCTCTAAAAACACTCTTTGTTATACAGAGTGTGACTCATGTAGGAGTCACTTCACACCTGTACATGTGGGCTTGAAATCACACACAAACTATAAATATTTAACAATAAATTAAGCAATGGTGGTTTCGGTCGGAAAAGTTTGCCCTTCGAATCTGTTACTGAGACAACTGATCAGTGCGTGTTAGTCGGAGAAAAATGAGCTTCATTTTAGCAACTGTTCATACGTGTATGTGAGTTAACCGAACTGAGCCATTGTTTTGTGAAATTTCGAATAAATATCGGCTCTTGCTAGGACTTGTGTGGTAGCACTTCACGGTTAAATAGAAGATAGGAACGAAATTAACGTTGAATGAAATAACCTAACGACCGAGATGTCATCAAAATCCAATACATATACGCCGATAGAAATTTGCCGACAAAAAAGACTATTCTTAACACACTTGTATGTGGCTTAAATAGCGACTAGAAAAGCCAAAAGTTAGCAAGTAATCTTAAAAGTTGGTTTTATATACATGAAATGACTGAGGCATGTTGTATTTTGACTGGAAAAACTCATGATTTAATTTTACACCTGTGCATCTGAGGGGCATTCAATCGCTCAGGGAGCGGTTCCGCCTCTTGAGTATATAATATACAACTTAAAGAAAGAGCGGATTTCGAAGACATTTTCAGCCTAAACTGATTAAGGGTCACAATAGCTATATACAAGTCGATAGCTGAGAGAACACAAACCACGACTTTCTTTGGCCAATTTTTCCCTTGATGATTCGCGACCACTGATCTGGCTCGCAAAATAAGCCTAGCAATTTTTCCCTCAAAAAAAAAAAAAGTATGTCAAACACGTTTGGTCAATCAGCGTATTTTTTAGATATAGTTTTCTTGAGTTATTGTGCTTTACGAGTGAAGTAATAATAATTTGAGCCGGGTACTGAGCCAAAAGGGTTATAACGTTATCATACTGAGACTAACTTGAGAAGTGGGATCCGAAGCTTGGAATTGTTTAGATGCTGAACTTTTAAATTGATTTAACATTAAAAAAATAGTGTTCCTTACCTTTTCCTGCGGCCACTCTAACGTTGAGAAAAAGATCTGTACTCGATCTCAATGATGAAGACTCGAGTTGAAAATAAATTGTCAGTCTTTTGTGTATAAACTTTAATCTCTTAGTAACAAGATGTATGGGGTAAGAACGTAAAATAAATCAAAAGACTGAGACATGAAATAAGACTTTGAGCTCTTACAAAATTGCTGAGGCGTATATTATAAGGACGTTCACACTGCACACACAATTCAATTCATACGCCACTCCATCAAAATATAATCCACAGTGAAATGCCAATTTTTCGAATCTGCCAGAAAGTAAACGAAAACTGGTTTGAAAAAATCGGGTAATTCGAGAAATCTAATGTAAAATCATATCCTGGAATATTTCAGGGTATTAAAAAGGTTTCTTAAGGTTAGGTTACTGATCAATGCTTTCCTATTTCGATGCTGTTCATATTATACCTTCTCCTTTTACATTGCGTTATTAACTAATACTTTTAAAAAAAAAA